TGTTAAAGAGAATATCGCTACGTAGAATTGATATCGGGGGATTTTCATTAAAAACATATAAGAGCGTTTTAAAAAAATTAATGTTAACCCAAAATATCGAAAACATATGACCAACACTAATTTTTTAAATTTTATTTCACAACATGGGAAGGTTATTATAATGACGAAACAAACTTCAATTCGTTGAATTGATCAACGAAGTAGGCGATCAATCGTGGGAGTTATCAACATAGAAAGTCAATCAGTTGAGTGGTCAACCTGAAAGTAAAATCGGAAAAGGATGAGAAATATCGAGAACCGAGTGATGATCAACCGGAAGAGTGATCAAACGAGATCGAGGGTATTGAGACTTATAGGGGGTTTTTTGGCTGGCCCAATTTCGACAAATGAGGTGTCATTCGAAAGAGCTCGCCGAGCTGAGTCGATCGGGGGAGGGGGGCAGAGAAGTCGATCCGACAATGAAGGTCCGAGATACAGACCCCTGAAGTTTGAAAAAGAGAAGGGGGAGTAAGCTCATTTTGGGGTGAAAAATTCGAAAATGCATTTGTCCAAATCGGTACAGCCAAAAAAACCCTATAAGTCACAACATTCGTGAGCGATAAACGACACATATATCGATCACCTTAAGTATCAATCAAGATTCCCCTTAGAGATTAAGGGGGATCTTGATTGTTAATCAACTCTCTCTCAACAATTAATCAATTCTCTCTCGGTTGATTAATTGAAAAATTTGATCAAAATAAACTTCCCCGTCATTGAACAACTTTCCAATGTTTTTTAATAAAATTTAAAAAATTCAATATTGATCATATGGTTTTCGATACTTTGGGTCATATTTCTTGACGATTAGCGAAAAATTAAATTTTTTTAAAAGCTCTTAATATTGTACAATTGTCCACTGTACAATTGTCTACTGTACAATTGTCTCACTGTACAATTGTCCCACTGTACAATTGTCGTGCCACCTCAAAGGATAATAAAGATATCGGGAATTAGAGTAATTAAGAAGGCTTTCGAGGATTAGAGTGATACGCAACACAAAAATAAGAAAAATGAGTGAAAGCCTATGAAACCTAATCATCGGAGACTAAGGGATTAAGAGGCAAATAAGGGGAGTTAATGTTTTGCTTTTTGGCTCAGGAATATTATGGGTTTCAGGCTAAAGGGTGTTTTCAAATGTTTTGATGGGAGAAACGGGTATTTTCTATGAAAATAAAGTTTGGAAAGTGAAATTTGTGTAATTAGGAGATCGGAGAAGTAATTAACAGGCATATTTTGTGATTTGAGGGTATTAGTGAATCGGAGGAGTTGGGAGTGATTAAGCGGCATAGCAGTAAAGGGTAATAGGTAAGAATGATTTAGCGCGTTTGGGAGGTGGGGGAGATGATTAAAGGCCTATATCAATGGAACGAAGCGAGATATCGTGGGTATGGCGAATTAAATGTGAGTGTTAGAGTAGTTTAACTGGAGAGATGGCAAAGGGTGATATATGAGATTTGGTGGTGTTTAAGTGAGATATCAGATGATTTGGAGAAAAAGGATTTTGGTGAAAAAGGGCGATATTTAGGATTTGAGTGTGATTAAGAGGGATGACAGGATTTTGGGGACTTTTGGTTAATATCTAGGTTTTGAGAGATACAGGGTGATAACTGGGAAGTATGAAAAGGGATTTCGTATGTTGATATATCAGGGGATTTGGGGTAATTAAGAGGGATATCAGAGGATTTCGGGGCTAAAGCGTAATATCTGAGATTTTAGGGTGCAAAGTAGAAATATAGATGTTTTGGGGCCTAAAGGGTAATATCTGAGTTTTTGGGGATAAATGGTGATATCTGTGTTTTGGGGCGTGGTTAAGAGTAGAGCTCGGACCGTACCGTACTACGGCCGTATTTTTCGGTATTTATCGGTATTCCGTATCGGTAATACGGTACGGAATACGGTACGGTAAAATTTTAAAGTTGTTCGGTATTTTTCGGTATCGGTATTTTTCGGTATTCCGTACCGTTCTACGGTACGGCAAAAACTAAAATACCGATAATACCGACCGATAAAAATTTTAAATTATTATCTTATTTTAAGGGAAAATATTCTTCTTATCCTTTGATAATTTTCAAATTTTTCGCCTGCGGCGCTAAAAATAGAAGAAATTAACCTTTTTGGACTTTAAAATTCTTATAATTTTCGCCTGCGGCGCTAAAAATATTGTTTTAAATAAAGGATATAGAGGAAATAGTAGTAATTAAGAATGGATTTAGGGGATTAACAGAGGTATCTAAGGATTACTAATGATTAAGTGGATTTGTGGGGATTAAGTGGATTTAATAGGGCCTAAGTTCAAGTCTAGGGATTAAGAGCTATCTGGATCAGGGCTGGACGCAACCGAAAAAAAATTTCCGCAGCCCAGTCCGCAATTGCGTCCAGCCCTGATCTGGATTGGGGATAGAGGATTTGAGGGTAATTTGGTATATAATATTTGAGGGTAAATCCCTTTAGTCCTGATAAATCCACTTATATTCTCAATAATCATCCTATCCTGAATCCTCCTTAATCACTAGAAATCAAAAGAATATTTTCTTCAATCCCTGTCTATTATTAAAATCGACTTAATCCCAACTAAACCACCGATATTCCTCTAAATCTTCAGATATCCCTCCAAATCTATCTTAATAAATTAAATCCACGATATATTCTTTGTCTCTAAAGATTTATATATATAAATATAGTTATTGTTTAACAAATTACATAATTTTTTAAAATACGGTACGGAATACCGATAAATTTTTATCGGTATTTTTCGGTATCGGTATTTTTCGGTATTCCGTACCGTTTTACGGAACGGTAAAATTCTGAAATACGGTACGGAATACGGAAAAGAATATGGCATGAAATACGATACGGAATACGGTACGGTACGAAATTCCGCGCTCTAGTTAAGAGAGATATCAGAACATTAGGGAGGTGATTAACAGGATGGTGGCTAAGAGGGATATTGAAGATTTTAGAAAATAAAGGGTGATAGCTGTGATGAGATATTTAAGAGATATTTAGAGATATATAGATTAAGAGATATTTCATAAGATTGGAGTCTAATGGGTCATTCTGGGATTTTGGGGTGATTATGAGGCATAATAGAGGATTGAGGGTGATTAATTGGTGGTGATTAAGAGAGTGGTGATTAAGAGAATGGTAGTAAAGAGGGATATCGGAGGATTTTGTAGATAAAGCAGGATATCTATGAATTGAGTGAGATTAAGAGAGCAAGAGACTCTACCCATCAATTGTGAGAAGAGTCCAGTAGCGAGTAAGATGTCGGGGATTTGAGTCCGTCAAAGTGTAAGGTTGATCTAAAAAGAATTACAATGTATTGTACGAGCGTTAGGACGCGCGAAGCGCGTCCTAACGCTCGTAATAAATAAAAAGAATTATAGCGCTTAGCGGCAAAAGGGCAAGTCGTTTAATGAAAGCTTGTGATTTGATTTTATATGCACTTTAAAGAAATCATGTGAAATTTTAAAGAAATTAACAATTATTTACAATATTTCATAATATTTTGTCTGAGAATTTGTCTGAACATCTAATTTCAACTTATTTTATTAGCTTCCCCCGTTGACTTATTAGGTTCCCCGTTGATTAATTAACGGGACAACTTCCCCCATTAACGGGACAACTTTCCCCGTTGACTGATCAACTTCCCCCGTTGACTTATCAACTTCACACTGAACAAATCCCCCGTTGACGGAACAACTTCCCCCGTTAACGGGACAACTTCCTCCGTTGACTGATCAACTTCCCCCGTTGACGGATCAACTTTCCCCGCCAAAATAATAAAAAAAATTTTGCGGCGGTAATCTTCTGTCCCTGGGTCTTCTGTCATTGGATATTCCTTTTCGACCCAAAACTCAACTATTAAGGAAAATTGACAATCTTAAAGGCGGAAAAATGATGAAAAATGAAGTTGCGCTATTATTCAGATAATTTATTCATATACATGGACCCGAATTTTGCATTTGTTTTGTTTATTTTTCTGATTAAAAATTTTATTTTTAATTTTAGAAAATGATTTTTCCTAAAATTCAACTTTTTGTGAATTTATTTTTTTTATTCCTTATTCATTTTCAAATATTCAAACACATCAAAGTTTTATTTTTACAAAAAATTTTGAAAATGTAGTTGAAGAAAATTTAGTTGGGGATATTAATGTAAAGAAAATTGATTTCACCAAAACAAATACTTTAGAGATAATTATTGAATTTGGTGCCATAAACAAAAAACATGGATTATTTATCCGAACTATAGAATATTCTTGTGAATATTTGGATGTACCTTTCGAGGAAAAAATATATAAAGTTGAAAATATGAAAAACGAGAAAAAACAGATTCATTTTATAGAAAAATTCAAAAATCTATACAGAGGTGGATTTAATTGTTGTTTAAATTTAGACGGACATAACTATGTAAATTTATTTAATAATACATATGTATAATTTTAAAACTTTTTATTATTAAGAATGTCGGGCAGGGGTGTTGACAAGTGCTGGGTATTTGCCATTTGTTGGCTCCGGGCTCCGGGGTTTTAAAATCTTGGCTTCGGCTCCGGGCTCCGGAGCCGACGATTTTGGAGCCGTCCATGTTGGCTTCGGGCTCCGGGTGGAAAATCAATCAACTATTTTTCATTGTAGGATTTGGGTAGATTAAGTGGGAGCTCCCGGAGCCATACCCAGCACTGGGTTTGACTTCATTAGACATGAAAAGCATCAGATCTCTTTCTTTATCGTAGTGGATGATTGAAGAAAATTTTCCTACCGTTATCCACGAATACAGGGTTGAGATTTTTTTGACATAGTTGTGTAATAACAACAATTATCAACAATCTAAGCAAGAATAATATTTGATATTATAAAAGATCTGATCACAATTAAGCCACTTTTCCATGCTAATCTAAATTTTCAACCTGAGATCAAAAATGGCGATAATGGCGGTGCTATTCTTACCAAATTTAAATGGTCATTAAACTTGGAAGGTTTAATTATATTGAAGTTTGTGCAGATTACAAAGAAAAGAGCAACTATATTATATACATTTATGTAGACGACGAATACTTAAGAATCAACTTCTACAAGTCTAGCATAGTAAAAGCCGTCCAAATTTTTGTAAAAGTTAATGAGCAACTCAAAAAATGTGTCTCAACAAAATTTAAGGTTGAGTCAGTTGAAGAGATAAATACCCTGGGGACCTTCAAGAAAGGTCTAGGGCTTGTGATTGCTAAAACTTCTATGGATTTAAATGATGGAGAGGTTATAACTGAAGGAACTAAATTCATTACTTATGTTGATTTATTTGGTGGAGAATATTCGGCTGAAGATTTAGTTTTTGTAGTATATGGACTAGACCCCCTATTTGATGATGAAAGTTATGAATTTGAGACAGATATAGATGGAACAATAATTGAAAAGAAAAAAGATTTTAATAAAAATGTAATAAAATATTTGAAACAAAGAGAATTACAAAAAGTGTCTAATACAAATTTATATAATGATTGGCAAAAATGGTTTAATTATGGCAGAAAATACTATATGGTAGGGAAAGGTGGAAAAGCACATGATATGAACATAAACAAATACAGTGAATATCGCCGATCCGCAATCGCCACAGGAAATTCAAAGTTAGACAATTAAGCACATAATATTATTATTTACTTTCGTCATTATTGATACCATGAAATATTCTTTTTTAATCTAATTTTGAATTTTATTCCATTTGTTGTCTATTTCCGGCATAGCCAAAAAACGAAACGGGAAAATATTTACTTCAGAGTTACCCTTGTTTAACTTCCTTTATTTGGTTCCCGAATTTCTAAATTCCTGAATTCTCTGAATTTAGGTTAAATCCTGCTTCCTGAATTTAGATGTACACAAACATGTACATAAAAGATGTACATAATACATAAAAGATGTCACATAAAATGAATTAAAAAATAATTTCTGCCGGGGGTGCCCAGCATACAAAAATATATACGTAAAAAAATTTCATTGATAATAAATGCAAGCCAACGATAAAAAAGCATTATTTTAAATCATTTATCAGTTATCTAATCCACTTTTTAATTAAAAAAATCATTTAACCCATTTAATAAACAGGGTACGGCAATTTTTCCGCACTTTGTTTTGAGCATATCTCACTTCAAACTCAAGATAAATTGATAATTCTTTTCTTATCTTATTTAAAACTCTCTAAGAACATTTTTGATATCAAAAATTATAAATTCGGTTCGTGGATGATAAAGATATGACGGTCCGAAAATATACAAAAATATAAAATCTGCAAAAAAACATTTTTTTACTAAATAATCTTACTATATACATACATATTTAGTAATTTTAAGTTAACTTAAGCTATCCCATTTTAACATTTTTTATTAAATATCTTCATAAAAAATAAATGTTATGTTTACGAGAAATTATATATATGCCAATATGTAAATAAATTTATTAATATTTTTGTTAGATAATTATAAGATATTTTGAGATATATTTTTTTAAATAATATTAAGTTAATTGACAATCATTCTTATAATTTTTAATAAAAAATACTGTGTAAATTAATTCTTAATTTACTAAAATTTTACAAAAAATTATTTTTAAATTTGATTATATAACAAATTTGAAATTACACATTTTTATTAGCATTTAGGAATTAAAAATTTTAATTTACTGCAATGACAACTCCTGAACTCGATGTATATTAATTAAAATAAAATTAAAAATTAATTAATTTTTAGCCCAATTATGTTGCTTACAAAGATAAAGGAATTATATTTCAATTTCTGTTTCCGGCAATTCTTTATTCAATATTGGGAATTGTTTCTATTTTGCTTAATTTTAGTGTTTGCTATATAACAATCAAATACAGGTAATTTTAGAAAATTTTTATATTGTATAGTGGGGTTTAATGGAGACTGCAGTTCAAATAGTTCCGCTCAATTAGAGGAAATACGGTAGCTTAATATTCTTTTGCGTACCGCTACCACTGTACCACCGACAATAATTATATATTTTTGTCTTGAAATTAAAACACAATGTTGTTGAAACATCTCCCTTGTAGTTTGAACAATATATTGAAAAACCTTCCAGGTTCTCGGAACATCATATTCCCCGTCCTTAGACGGTAAATATGGCCCCCTGACCCGCAAAAAGTATAAGAATTAATTTAAGTTTTTAGAAAACAATATGAGGCATTAAAAAGTAACACAGCAATACTTATAATAATCAACTCGTTTTTTGAAATCCTTCAACAAACCGGACAGATTTATTATTTAATAATAGCAGCAAGTGGGCGCAATTTTGTTTCTTGGAGAAAGGCTGTTGTATTTTTAACTCCTGCACTAATTGGATTCAATAATGTCATTTTTACTTTGATTTCTCTTAGTTTTGACAGACTTTTGGCTGTTGCATTTCCAATTTTGTATGTATTTTTAAAATTGAGTTATAGAGTTTGAATAATTTTAAAAGTTGTTCTTGTTAATTAATTAGATAATTGTTATGAATTAGCTTATCTGGTTAATCTCGTGGAACAACTTATCTATAATAAGCTCGGATTCATTATTATAGATTCACCAAATATTTTTTTGATTTTATCAATTTATTAAGGTCCGATTTGTTTGAAATTTTTAACGGAACCCCCCTTTTAATTTTCAAAAATATTAATGGGTTGACCCCCTGAACTGTGAGACCATCAATGGCAACTTGAACGCGGTCCAGGATTGTACGATAGAGATATTCATTACGTTCAGTGCCCCTATGAATTAATTCCCAGTGTACAATTCCAAATCTAGCTCATTCAAAGGGCTCATTCATTTAGGGTCAACCCATTATTAGTTAAAGGCATTTCAACTTCAAAAAACATTTAAACTCATGTCTAAGCTCATGTGACGTTTTATTAAAAATTTCCTTTGAATAGCTTCTTTGGATCTGTCCTAAATAAAATACAAAATTTCAAGCTACTATTACATATTTCAAAATTTAGTTATAAAAATATCAATAAGCGCCTATATATTTGTGCACATCTTGCCGCCATTCTTTTGTTCATAATCTTCATACTTGTAATGATATTCAAGTCAGTTTATGATTATCCTGACTGGCTAATAAATGGAACTAATTATGAGGCTTATGACATTGTCATTGTTGATAATGGAATTATCTCATTAATCCAATATATGTTTCTTGCGATTATTATCTTTTATGCCCTTGTTGGATTGATATTGGCCTTCAGAAAGGGTAATATTTTAAAACTGATATTCTTATTTATTTTTATATCTGCATTAAAATTTCTATCTCCGTTAAAAACTTTTTTTCGTTGCTTTTAAGATCGACGACGTTTTTTCACTTTTTTTCTCTTATTTTGGATATTTTTTTTGAAAACCTTTAAAATTTTTAAAAATTATGTCATCTTACAAATCCACCAAAAAAATTTTGATCTTTGGAAAATATTTTTTTAAAAAATTCAAAAAAGCTTTCCTAAATTATCATTTTCCATTGGAAATTTTCGATTTTTTTTTATCAATTTTGCTTTGCAGATGAAATTTCTAAACGGAAAATAATAATATATGGCTTTTTGCCCATTATATCGACCTTTTTAGCACTTATTTTAGGACTTTTGTCAACTATTTTAGGCTTTTTAGTAACGCGTATTTAGTACCTATCTTTAAGTTTTGACGACCTAAAAATCTGATCCCTAATAATAAGACTATTGATTCTCAAATTCTTTTGCCCTAATAGTAGCAAAAGTGTTCCAGGAAAACTATCAAATATAAATGATTTAGGTTCAACTGACGCAACGATGAAAAAGGTTTATCGTTCACTCATACTAATTGTTTTAATCAATGTTGGAGGCTATATATTATGTGGATTGATATTTCAATATATATTAATCCCTATTACACGTGCAAATGAATTTTCTTTATTACTTTATGGAATAATTCCTTCAGTTTTACATAATACCGCTAGTGCATCTACTGCCCCGATTCTTTACATAAATTGGTAAATTTGTATACTTAAAAAATTTAGGTGGCTAAATAACAATAAAAGATTAACTAAAATAAAATTTTCAGTAGCGACTATAATGAAGCTTACAAAAAAGAATGCAAGTTTATTAAACGCTTTATATTTAAATTACTACGAATTAAAAATAACAATACAATTACACCAATAACAATCTTTTGAAAACATACGAGCAAACATATGTATTTTTCGACTCTATGAAAAAAAAGATCTATGCTAATTGTCATGAAATTATTTATTACTTTATTATTTTCTCCGCCCCAATTTTAGTCAATAAAAGAGGGAGGACCTAGGCCAAACTTTTTCAGTTTTTAATCTTGCTTTGGCCAGGTCCTCTCCCCGGCCGGCTCATTTATTTGTATTTTATTTATTTATTTTAATAAACTTTTAGAGGGAGAGATTTTTTTAATTAATTCGACGGACGCGCTCCGTTGTTTGGGAGAGCAGTTTGTCGTTTTTTAACAAAGTTTGTCGTTTCCATCCCTAATTTGGTGATAAATTTAAAAAATTATTAAATAAATATCAAAAAGGGTATAAAATTTCAGCACTATCAGAATTGTTTTTTCATTAATACATTTTTGTTCCATTAATTTAAAAATCGTTTTGATTCAATTCAAATCCCCTAAAAATATATTTACCGAAACAAAATAAAAATATCGAAACAAAATGAAAATGCAAATTAATACGAAATAGATAGGAAAATTATTTCGAATGTACTGCACCGACATGATGTCTGAACAATAGGATGCTCTGATTTTTGATATAAAGGAGAATTACAAAATCGATGTCGAACACGAAATAACTTTTCTAGAAAGCAATAATTCTTAAAACAGAAATTGTAAAATTTTGTAAGACAGATGGTCAATTAAAGATTAAATGTTTATCTGTACAATGATCAGGGCTGGACACAATTGAAAAAAATTTCTGCAGCTGGAATCCGCAAGTCAAAAAAAACGAAATTTCACTCAATCATTGCGTCACGCAATTGCGTCCAGCCCTGATAGTGAGACGACTATTTTGGGGGTAGGACAATTTTAGAGAATGGGATTAAATACATGGATCATTGTTTAAAGAGCCGGTTACGATAAATGAATGGACTATTTTAGTAAATTTACGAAATATAAAATTTTTTGATAATGATAGATTTCCAAAAGAGTTGGACAATATTACTCTAATTAAAGAAATTTTTGAAAGGACAGAATTAACAACCCCTCCCCCCTATTTTGAGTACCAAAGATTTTTCAACAAGTCTTTCTTCCTTCCTCGATTTCATTCTATTTTCATTTTGCAAATTCAACAGAGAGACATTAATAAAGAAATTTATTTTTCAATCCTTTATTTGTTGACCAAAGTGAATAGAATTATATCGCGGACGGATGGAAGCACATCTTGAAAAAATCTGATACACAAATGGGGGGGGGGTGTGGTATATCCATAAAGTACCCAGAATCATTCCAGAATTTAGTGTTAAATCGGATACATTTTTTAAAAGGTTTTTAATGATTAAACCCAAAAATTGTTAACAGTTTGTCCTTGTCCAACCTAATTTGGCGATAAATAGAAAAATGATTAATAAAAAGCAGAAAGGCAAAAAAAATTTAAAATTTCAAAACCCTCAAAACTCTTCAATCTTTAACATTTTTGTTTTGTTACCATTACTTTAAAAATCGTCTTGTTTCAATTCAAATCCCCTACAAATATATTTAATTTTAATACATTATTTTCGTTTTAAACAAACCAATTTTCAATTTTCTCTTTTAATATAACAAATATTTTCAAATCTTCAGTAACTCCTGTTGCTCCAACACCCTCTTCTATTTCAAATTTCAACATTTCCTTGTTTAAAACTTGGTCTTTAATTTTAATTCCAACAAGCCACGAAGTGCAAAAATTTACACTGAAATTTAAAAATATTTTAAAGAAAATTGGGTACTAACGCATTATCCGTCACCATTTTATTTTTCTCCTCCTTTCACCAAAAAATATACGTAAGGATCAAAGGAAATATGACTGTTAAAGGATTGAATTCATTTGGAAAAAATTATTTGGATTTTGGCAATCAGTACTCAGTTTTTAATGTTAGAATATTGTTCCAGTCACTTTCGGTGAGTAGTACTCTTTATTTGCGGTGGCACTTTATTTTCAGAAAAAATTTATGGGAATAAATTGAACTTGCAAATTGAAGTAATGGTAACACCACAAATCCTAAATTAATTTTTCCAAATACTATGTGTACTTTTTTGGTGAAGGGAAAAGATAGGAAAAGAAAAAAATGGTGACGGATATTGCAAAAGTACTGACGATATGCTAAACTTTATTATTTCAGAAAGTTTAATTTATTTAGGACTAGTGTTGTATGTTCCTTGAAACATTACCAAAATGGAACTTTTGGGTTTTTCGAATAGAATATTTGTCTACATGATAGAGACACGTATTTATTTCAAAACTTAATAAGGAATTTTAAAAGATATATTATTACTTTAATAGTTCCTTTGCTTGTACATTTTCTTCTTCCTCAAATTTTTCATCCTCATTTTTAATTTTTTGAATTTCTGTAGGACAATCCTCTGTTTTTAATCCAATATGATAAATTTCTATTTGATTAATTTTCTCAATTTGTTCATTTATTTTATCCAAATTCTCCAAAAATCCACAACTATTTACTTGTCCGGCCTCTTCTTCAGTAATACACGAAAAAACAATAAAATATTTGTACTGAAAATAATTTAAAAATTATTTATTTTCAAATTATAATTCACAATTTTAACGAATTCTGATCCTTCAACTTTGTTTTTTAAATATTCAAATTCGTTTTTATTTTTCTTTTGATAACCTTTTTTTGTTTGTGTTGAAGTAAATTTGACAATATCTTGAAGACCTATTATTAAATTTATTTATTTTTAAAGTTTTAGGAATAAAATAAAAAAGGAATTATCTACTGAAAATATTTGTTTTGATGGTTCGTTTCAATTTACTAATCTCATTTATAAATTAATTTGGCGACGGTCTAGTTTATGCGTCCAATGAAACTTTATGAGTCCGTTCAAAAGAAAATTGGATTTTTCTTGGTATTGCACAGTTGGGGTATAATTCCAAAGCATTTCTTCATGTTCGGGACCTAAGCCCACTGGGTCTGGGACCGTTCCTTACCCTATCTCTCGAAATTTCGGAAAGTTATAGCCAATTTTTAAAAATTTCGGAAAAACAATTGTAACTTTCCGAAATTTCGAGGTATAGGGCAAGGAATGGTCCCAAACCCAGTGGGCTTAGGTCCCGAACATGAAGAAATGCTTTGGAACCATACCCCAACTTTGCAATACTAAGAAAAATCCAATTTTTTGTTGATTGGACTCATAAACTTTTCATTGGACTCATAAAAGTTCATTGGACGCATAAACTAGACCAGCGCCATTAATTTTTGACACAACAGGAAATATGTATAATACAGGTAATTCGCCCAATATTAATTTGATGTCGTTGTAATTTGAGCAAGGTAACATGTAATAAAATATTTAATTGTCATTAATAAAATTAAAAAATGTTTACTAATTGTTTTGCGCTTATATTAATTCTGGGACGCATATAATTTGATGGGACTAATATACTTTCAGGGGAGAAATGTCCTAAGATATAGCCGAAAATTTTCAACAATGTTCCCCAGCTGGAGCAATCTTATGGGTTTAATTTAAAATAATTGCCAAATAATAATGCATTCAAAATAATCTGTTGATTTGTCTTTGTTATTTTGCTCGTAATTGAATGTTCAGGATGTGTTGTAGTGTAAATTATAATATTTTTCTCTTCTTTCACTTCTTTATTTTGTTTGTTTTTTATTCGAAGAGGAACTTGCCAATTCCTCAAATAAATTTAACATATTAGAAGTTTTTTTGGAAATTTACCAAGTTGAAAATATTATGAAAAAACGTTCAATTAATTCAATCACATTTGCTTCGGGACATAAAAGAAAAACTTTTGTCATCATTACAGAAATGGAAGTTCCATCGAGAAATCCAAATTGAGTGTTGTAAACACAATGAGCTAAAATTGAGATAAATTTTTAGAGTTCGGTTATTATTAAAAAATTCTATTTGAGATTTAGTGGCAATTTTAAATTCTATATAAATGAGAAAAAGGCGAATTCATAACAGGTAAAATCACTCTAAGATCATAACATGGAGCCGACGATATTAACGAATCTATTGTTTGGATGTGCATAGAACTATGAGTTTCAAACATCTAGTGGAGGAATTGTCTCGGAATCAAAAATATTTTGATTCTTTTTGGACTTTTTAGTTAAAAGAATTTTTTATAAAAAAACAATTTTTTACCGATAAGAATTAAATTGTTTACATAGGCCAAAATTACTATGTTTACATTTTTTATATGTGTGTGTTAATATTTTAAATTCCAACAGGCCCATTTTGAACACTTCGACTTAGAAATTTCAAAAAAATTTAATAAAAACAAAAAAAAATTAGTTTTTATTTAAATTTTTTGAAATTTTCCTCATAAAAGTTCTTGTTATTTGTCCTGTTCTTGGTATGCCATGCTCCACAATATACTTTAACATTTTAAAAATTCCAAACCTTTTGCCCAATTTTTCAAAGCCATAAATGTTTGATTCAGAATATTTCGTTCTTTCTCATTTTTACTTTTTAATAACTCCTCCAAATATTCATAAGTTTTGAACAAGGAAAGATTATAAAGAATCGCTGCATTTTGTCTTTGTTCAATGCTATTCCCCTCTTTATTTAAATTTTTTGAAATTTTCCTCATAAAATTTTCGATCCACTTTGTATCATTTTGAACTACACGTTCTTCTTTATAATAAACAAAAGTTATTTCAAACTCTGTACCATTCTGTTCATAATAAATATTTTTATCAGAAACGTGGAAAAGTTTGTCCTTTCCACTGAGCTGTTGATTTCTGACTTTCTAAATTATAATATATAAATCGGAGTCGGGCTTTTGAGATATTTGTTCAATTGGACCTTTTAACTATTTAGTTAGAGATAACTTTTTAATAAGTGAGCCATCTTGCTTTAATTATTAGGGGCTTTCGAATGATGTAAAATTTATCCTGATTTGAATCAATGCTAAAATGTTATGAGCATAAATGTTTCCGAAAAGTACAGTAAACTTAAAATGAAACTTCAAGCCCATTACCTTAAAAAGATGACAATAAAACGAATTGTCGAAACCATCGCTATTAAATGAATTTAATAAAGCAATGTTTGCCTCATTAACAAATAATCCTTTAATTATATCATCGTCAACTTTCCCTGCTCCAATAGCTAAAACAATTGCATGTATATGTCCTCCTTGTTTATTGACTGGGGAAGACATAAATAATCGGAAATTTTTAATCTCTTTAATGCCTTCTCTTTTTGTAATATGCTTCCATTCCTCGAAAAGTGTTTTAAATAAATCAGTTGGAACAATATCAGCTTTTGTGGATAAAGCGTTCAAGTTTTCATTTAAAGATAAAGGCTTGATTACGTCTGGATGAATATAAGCTTGGACATTTTCCGAGTTATCTTAAAATATTATTTTTTATAAATTACTTATAAATTACTCTTATATGCGAACCGCTTTTCAAAAAATTTCCCTTAAACCTAGGGTTGTTCCCCGTTCTTTCTAAAAGTGGGAATCACTCCCCCAATCCTTCCCTACGTGGCTAGATTGACGCTGGCACCAACTTTTATAAATCTAATTAGGCAGACACTTGGGAACTTCACAATACATGATTCAAGATTCCAGAAAATCGTAAATTCAAAATTTTCGCGAATTTACGATTCCCGAAATTTGGGAATTTGATTTTCTGTCGGCGCTATCCCTGCAATACACCCTCCCTCTAGAACACAAACCTATATCTAACTGTTCATTCATTTGTTTTAGCTCTTTAATTCTTTTTTCTATTTTTAATACCCATTCATCCAAAATTTCCTTTTCTTCTACTTTACAAATTTCTTTGACAAATTGTCTCTGAATTTCGGTTAATACATCAAAATTAATTTTGCTATATTCCACAAAATATTTCGAAATCTTTTCCAAATACAAATTTTCTTTGATTTTTCCAAATGTTTCCTTATCTAATAAGAGCTTTCCATCTATTACTTTTAATATTTCAATTAAAAAATAGTACAAATCATTTTCAACTTTTCTATTTCCTCCATCTTCATTTTTTGAAATTAATCTTCCTTTAATATTTCCCCAATACTTCTCCATTCTTTTAAACTTTTTTAAATTCACAAAATAAATTTCAAATACTTTAATATAATTTTTCTTTAAATTCTCCAAAAATGCAAAACGCTTCCCAATCTCATTTGCAAAAATTCCAACATCAACAAAACTTTGATTAATTGAATGTTTTCCTTTAGCAATTTGATTAAAAATATCAAACAAATTTTTATCCTCTGTGAAGTACTCCACTTTTATAGATTTCTCAACATCCTTGATTGTAGCTATATTTTTTGTTTCTGTCTCTTTTTCATTCTTAACCTCTGTTAAGTTTTTATTTTGAACCTTAAAATTATTTAATCATTTTTACATACCCTATTTATTATAATATAACGACATGTCGTTTTATTTTCAACCCTCTTCTAGGGTGTCGTTTTATTAGAGACTGTCATTATAATAGAGATTGTCCTTATATTAGAATAAATACATATTAACAGACATTTTAATGGACATGTATTTTGTATCCGTTTCCGGATATTTACAGTGAATACTGTCGGAAATTCGCAGGAATTTTTATATTCTCTGTATCACCATTACCAATTCTGCATATTCAAATGAAATTGCCAATTTATTTTAATATTTTATGGCCATAAATATTTTGCGATTTTATTTCAATAAAACCTGATCCCTACTCATAATGAATATAAGTCATCGCCTAAATGTAGGGTAGTCTGATTATTTGGACGGTCTAGGACCGCTCACTTTGTTTTGGACCGTTCCTTAACCTATCACTAAAAATTTCTGAAAATTATAATCGTTTTTCAGAATTTTTTAAAAATAGGCTATAACTCTCAGAAATTACGAGAGATATGTTGAGGAACAGTCCCAGATAAAGTAGGCGTAGGCCCCGAAGATGAAGAACTGTTAATGATCTAGACCCAAAGTTTGAAACAAAGAAAAATCCAAATTTTACTTTTACACCCCAATTGGTTGTTCAAATGATCATTTGGACTAACCATAAATTTGGATCTTGGACATATAAAGGGAAATTATAATTTAATCGTACCTCTTTAATTGCAACCTTTTTGGGCTTATCATGAGAAATTGTTATACTTTTACTTTGTTTCTTTGCTTTTTCTTTTTGTGGTTTTTTGTTTTTTACACTTTTAGAAATATTTTGTTGATCTATAGCTAGTTTAGCTAATTTTTTCATTAATATATCTGAATGCTCATTTGTAACAAAATTTTGGAATTTATCATTTAATGGGTTTTCCCTATCATTGACTATTCCTTAATTTAAAAATTAATTTTAATGCATACTGTTGTGTATGGGCGTCAGCCCTTAAAGTGTTTAGTATAAAAGCCCAGCCAATAGTTAGTTCTCGGTCTCAGTTTTAGTTCTTCTTCCTACCCCAACCTTCGCCTGCTTTGTATTTCTTTGTGCAATAAACGTTTCTGTTAGCTTCCTCTACGTAACCGGGGTCGTAACAGATTTGTCGCGGTCGTGTTCAAAAAGAACCTGGTCTCGACAACAGTCTCGTCAACTTCAGTGAGTGCTCGTCAACGTAAGCTGTGTGCAGTTCAGAAAAAGAAAAATCTGTGTGGACAATTGTAGTGTAGTAAAACCAAAAAGGTTAGTGAAATTGTAGTGTAAAGTGTAGTGATAAAAAGTTTATTTTTTAGTGAGTGCAAAATGGATGCAAAAACAGTGAAGAAATTGTTGAAGGCTCAGCAAGAGCACTTTGAGAAAATGTTAGTGAGGCTCTTGAAGCCGAGTGAGTGGAACGACACCGAATTGTACAGCAAATTAGTTGGGATGATTGGTGAGTTCGTTTTTGATTTGACGAGTGGTATGACCTTTGAGTCATGGTTGGGCAGGCATCGGTCCTATTTTGAGGTGGAGGGTAAAACCCTGCCAGAATCCTCTAAAGTGAGATTGTTGTTGAGTAAATTGGGGCCAGAAGAGTATGCCCAAATTGAAAGGAAAATGCTGCCAACCAAGTTGAGTGAAATGAAGTTTGACGAACTCTGTAGTGAGTTAGTGAAAGAGTTTAGTGATCATAGGTCCAAATTGTTGAAAAGGTTCGAGGCCTTAAATGTTAAGTGTAGTGACCTCCAAGATATTGTTGAGTTTGGGAATGTAGTGAATGCTCAATGTGAGCGTGCAGAAATGGCCTTGTCGATTGAAGAATTGAAAATTCTTATTTTTATTTCAGGTTTGCCTAGTGATGCTACCTCAGTTCGACAAGTCGCAATGAAAAGTGTTGAAAGTAAAAGTGAAAGAGGACAGGCAGTAACCTTGAAAGAAATAATTGAAGAGTGTCGGGCATATTTGGCAAATAAAAGTGAAGCCATGTATATTGTCAAGGAGAAAAATAGTGAAGTAAAAAAAGAAGTGCCGACAGTCAACACAGTGGAAAAAGTGAAATGTTGTGAAAAGAGTAAAAGTGAAATTGGAAGTGAGTGCAAAAAACAGTGGTCCAAACCAAACGTCAAGTATCAGCAAAATGTTATTGAGAAAAAGTGTAGTCATTGTGGACGTTTTGGTCACTGGCGTATGCATTGTAAGTTCTTGAAAAATAATCAGTATCAGCCAAAAAGGCAGTGGAGTAATGATAATAATCATTCAGGTTCTCCATATTGTGCAATTCTGGACATCTTCGATCCAATGCAAAGTGTGGAAAAAGAAGAGTGGATAAAGCAAAAAGTGAAGTTTGGAGAACTTAGTGTAGAAATGATTGTAGACACTGCATCGCAGATCAATGTTGTCACCAGTGAAGTGTGGAAAAGTATTGGACAGCCAACAATTGAAAAAGTGAATTACAGTGGTGTTGGGCTGGGTGACAACATAGTTGAAATTGAAGGAAAATTCAGAAGCAAAGTGAGAGTGAAAGACAAAGACGTCTTTATGGAGTTCCATCTAGTGCATAGTGAAGTGTGTATCTTAGGGTTGCCTGGATTGAAAGAAGTGTCAAGTCGGAACCAAAAGCCCAAGTACCAAAAGTGGAATAAAAAGAAGGCACCATTCAAGATACAGAAAAATGCTTTTCCGAACGGCACAAAAGTGAAAGTGAAGAATACCAATAAAAGAAGTGGTAAAATCGAGTGGCTTCATGGAGAAATAGTGAGAAAGACGGAAAATGCCTGGAAAATCAAAGTGGCAGTGTTGAAGTGTATTGTGACCAGGACATTTAAAGAGATCCGTCGAGATGAGTGGAACAATAAAAAGAAATTGTTGAGTGAAGATATTCGGAATATGAATATTAGTGAAGAAAAAGTGTCTAGTGAAAGTAGTGTAACTTCATCCAGTGATAGCAGTGTGGACAACTCCAAGAAGATCAAGTCAAAGATGAAGGACAAAAGCGGGAACAATCAAAAGATGAAAGATGTTGAAGACGATAAAAATATGGAGATGTAGATGAGCCACATATATAAAATTTTGTGATAATATTATTGTTGTATTTTTTTGTAATGTTGTATGTATTTTTTGTTCCCATTGTCTTTATTCCCCCAAAATTATTGTATGTATTTTTTGTTTGTTGTTTGGCTGGAAAGTGTTAGTATATTGTAAAGCTTCGGCTTTAAGTGAAGCCGAACCTTTTTTTAAAGGGGGAGGTGTTGTGTATGGGCGTCAGCCCTTAAAGTGTTTAGTATAAAAGCCCAGCCAATAGTTAGTTCTCGGTCTCAGTTTTAGTTCTTCTTCCTACCCCAACCTTCGCCTGCTTTGTATTTCTTTGTGCAATAAACGTTTCTGTTAGCTTCCTCTACGTAACCGGGGTCGTAACACATACCATTAGGGGTAGGATTTATAGGTTTAGAACATCAATGATACAACTTGGATCCTTCTAACTCGTCATATACTTATTTGACACGCAGAACTCTTATTAGAATTTTACTCAATTATTAGAAAGATACACCAAAATTTTCTTCTAATTTCGTAAATTTTTCGTGTCTGATAAACGGGCGTACGGTAAAAATGAGCAAGGCAGTTTATATTTAATATTAGGTATTTATTCTAAAGCTATAAATTGTCAAATTTTTACTATACGGTGCTCACGGGCATCTTTACTCGATTAAATCCATGCGGAATACAGATAACCCTCATAACTCCGTCAAACATGAAAAAATTTTGTTTTAAAATTTTTTATTTATTATTTTTTAAGAAATGACCTCTACATAGCAAACCCTACTTATAGAAATCATATTTAAAATAATAAAAATTTCTATAAACATCTTTTGAATTTTAATTAAACTAATGAAATTAATGTTATTTAAAAATACCTGGCAAAAATTTATACAATTCATTATTTTTATCATTTAGGAATTTATTTAAAGTTAGATAATTTACTTCTTTTAACCAAACATCAAATTTATTTTGAATTTCTTCGTACGATTCCTTTATATCGAATTTATTTTTATATTCATTATCTTCAAGTTCTTTACTGATATCTTCAATTCCCATATTCATTATCTTTTGCCATACTTCACCCCATTTTTTATAGAGGTCTTCATTTGTCTTAATAAAATCAGAATATTAATTATAATTAGGGCTAGGATTTGTATTGAAATATATTTTTTTCCTGAATATATTATGGCGAAAGAAGCTCAGATATGTCATTAGTTTTTCGATATTATGATTTTGAACGAAGTACATCTATGTAAATATATTTCAATATTATGCTAATTTTCTAGTTATTTCAAAATTTGGCATTTATTTCAATTATTTAAATATTTGCGAGTATTTATACCAAAATTTTGGGAATTTTGATTAATTTTTGGCAAAAAAGTGAAGAAATCTGGCCACTTTACAATCAAAATTCTCGAAATTTACGCATGCGGTGCTAAAATGGAAAGAGTTGCAACAGTTGTAATAACTCACATGCGGCGCTTGTTTAAACTTTAAGGAAATGTTGATGTATTTGGATGTCATTTAGAGGGATCAAAAATGATGGGATTAGAGGGGATACAGGGACTGCGGATTTTAAAATTAAATTTGCGGACATCGGATTGCGGCTGCAGAAAATATATTTTCGATTGCGTCAGCGTGT